CACGCGCCCATACAGATTTTAAGTTTTAAGTCCAGCCCTACCTTTGCATCAGCCAGCACCTGTTTGCTGACCTTGATGGTCATCTTGAACAATGCGGAGCACAGGTCTTCAAAAAGGGCCCTTGAGATGGTAGTCTGATAGCCCTTGTTGAGACGGGGGAAGAAAACTGACACTGTCGCCTGGGGCATCGTCGACAGCTTGCGCTTTGCGAGCTCGCATGCCTTGCGGAGGTCCTGAACGGCTTGCTTGTCAAGCGCTAGATCCACACCCAACTTTCTAGTAGCATCCTGGAAAGTAAATTATGTATGTACGTGCGGCTCAAATACTTTGTAAGGACCTGGACAGGGCAATGGCTTACCTTGATGCAGTGATTGAGGAGGATCACGTCGAAGTCTTGACCGCCCAGGTGGGTGTCGCCGCCCGAGCCCAGGACGCGGAAATCGCTGCCGGTGATCTTCATAACGGAGACGTCAAACGTCCCGCCACCCAGGTCGAAAATGAACACAGTCTTTGCGGAGCTGATGCCCTTTACGTTGTGCAGGCCGTAGGCAATAGCAGCTGCTGTGGGTTCATTGATGATGGCAAGCACCTCCATACCCGCGATCTTACCTGTTGGGAGACAAGAGCATATTTAAGAACGTCTGTTATACATGGAACGGCGTACAAGAAAAAGAAATGCTAACATGCGTCCTTGGTGGCCTGACGCTGCCTCTCGTTGAAGTAGGCAGGAACGGTGACGACGGCCTTGGATACAGACTGCCCCAACGCGGCTTCGGCAGTTTTCTTGAGATCATGGAGTACCATTCCGGAAATCTGCAGGGGTGGCAAGAGGGGCAGTTAGGCGCGACAGTGGACCGGTGTGGCAAACGAGAACGAGAAAGGACCTCTGCTCCGCTCTGCTCCGCTGCTGACCTCCTCTGGTGCGAAGGTCTCCTTCTTTCCGTCGGCCTCTACCCTGATCCTCGGCACGCCGTCTTGCTCCACCACCAGGAAGGGCCACACGTCCATGTCCTTCTGGATGTCCAGGTCGCTCCATTGGCGTCCGACGAGCCGCTTGGCATCTGCGGGACGGCGGCAAAAGAGGAAGGGGATAAACAAAGCATTCCGGTAAAGCTGAAAATGCGGGAAAGAAAAAACAAAACAGAAATATCTATGCTCTAACGTGGTGTTTTCTGTTTTCTTGTACCTTGTATTCTTCTGCAGTTCAGTTTTTTCGGAAAGGGGG